TTAACGAATATAACATTCATTTTTGGCGTTGGCGCCATTTGGCCCCAAATGGCGCCAACGCCAAAAATGAAGGTCATATTCGTTATCAGGGCATGGATTACCCCTATAGGCGAAGTTTCATCGAAAATTAAAATTTTGAGTTTTTGGGGGTTTAACAGAAGAATAGTTCTGGGGGTGTAATAGTAGAATAGTACCATGAATTTTTGCTTACCATTATCTGTTATTCGCACCAGGGCCCACTTGCACGCAGTGAAACACACTGTTTAGCTCGTCCGGACGCCCCACTCTTCTTCATTTTTCTGGTTTCATTCTCGTCTAGCCCCCTTTTTAACGGTTTTTCGAAGCCTTTTTGACTTTGGAAACACCAATGCACGCAGTTTATTCACCTCAGTCCCCCTAGTTTCGATCTTGTCTTCCATTTTTCATCATAATTGGATTTCCCAAAATTATCGTGAACTGTGCCTTTGAATTCGTTTTGTCAACGTGTGACTTATAAACTTATTGCATCCAAAATAAAAGTACTGGAAATGAAATTCAAATAATGGATTCGAAATCAGGTTTAGCATGGGAAATGATTATTGAAGCAGCAAAACTGTTTAACGAACTGGAGCTTGGGAAATTTTTGCGAGTAAGAGTATATTGGGTGATCCTGTGAAGGTTTTAAGGAAAAGGCTCACGATGTCATGGCAAATACTTTTATTTGTATTATGAGTTACCTTTCCAATGGGAAATGTCTAGAATAAACCTATCAATCGAATTCACGAAAACATTGACGCAACAAAACGCCCTCTAAAGCGATGAAACGAGTTGTAGTAGAGTTCTAGTTTCTTAAGAGGATTTTCAATGCCTACTAGAGGATGTCGGTGTATGGATTCTAGCTCTTCGATCACAGAAATCTCATGGTAATCTGCATTACAAGAATAAAAGAATAATGGAGACCGACTAAGAAATCTTTCCTAGAAATTGTGATCACAATTTCTATGGAAGAGTTCTTAATCAGTCTCCATTGTTCTTTTATTCTTGTAATGCAGATTACCTTTCAAATCCCTCTCCCTGTGCAGTGCTTAGAGTGGGGAGACGAGAGTAGAAACGGTTTTGTGTAATCGGTACGCCGCACGCGGCTGTCGCGGACCATTTGCATCGTTATAACAATTCTAGCATTCTTCATACAGCTCAATCAATATGCGATTATTATTTTTGGCATGATTCTCATGTTAGTTCTTTTGTTCCTGAATTTCTGCTCGTCGCTGCATTCTGCTACATTCCTTCGTGCGCGGCGTCTCTCTCGCTCGACGCGACAATTTCGTTCCTGCTGTACTACCCCTCTTAGGGTGTAGTGCAAAGTCACGGTCTGTAGCTCGTGATGACCCTTCTTCTCCTTCCCCTTGAAAACTAATAGAATCGGATCTCTCTGCTTAGGGTTTGTCTTGCACGAAAAACACGTTTAATATGTAGTGCCTAGTATCTCTGCTTCGTTTCTACAATCTGAGCAACGACTGCTTATATTGCTCACAGCAAAGAAGCAACTGTCGAAAGTCATCACAGCTGCTGCAGTACCATTCTGTCCCTTCCGTGATAGTGGTTATCCTCTTTTTCCAACTTTCATGATATTGTTTTCTCTGCTAAGACTTTTCTGATGATTTGAACAGTCTGTTGATTCCATGACAACCATTAGTTCAACCTCTTTTGAGATGAAAAAAAAACTCAGTATATGCCACTTAGCGCTCGTTTCAATCAGAGCTTCATGCCTTTGGTTTGATCAAGATTTAGCTTTACATATGATTGGTGAGTAGTCCCAATTAGTGACTACCAATGAGGTCTTGACAATGTAACCACCTTGCAATATTCAAATTCAGCATCGCATTATTCCTTTATTTT